TTCAACCATCATTCTACTCTGTTCCATTAATATTTCCTACTGTGAATATCCCTGTAGAATCCTTGGCAAATGCTCAGATGTTTCCAGATTCTGCTTTGGAAAGCAGTGAACCACAATGGTATTAAAAGCCAGTGACTTACAAAGGGATTTGTTCTTTACTCCTAAGAGAAGGGGAAGTCTAGACATTATCCTTAGAGTGACATTCATTTACAGCTTCCCACTCACAATAGTATAAACTGAAATGCACTGCTCCAGCTATTAAACTTTACATGGGATATTTTTGAGAGTTCTTTAAAAATCAAAACGCCTCGCTTAGCAGTTCAATAAGTGTGCCATTTCAAGAGATGTGACTGACAAATTAGTTAGTTCCTATGAAGGTGGTTACCTTGTAATGCTGCAGGCAAACACATTTGGTCTTTAGTCACATTTGTGGCACACACTCCACATTTTCAAAGGACGTACTACAGCCAACATTCCAACTTGGTACTCACCCAGATAAACAGAAGCTAACAAGAAGTATGAAACCATATACCGTACTATATAAGAATTTTGGCAGAACACCACATGTATCCTTATATGAAAAAAGCATCATGACAGTAAATCATCCTAAAGCTCTGACATCCATTCATAAGAATACTCTCATTCTTTCATCAGAAACCACATGTCATTCTGATTCATGTACAGTACTAAAAATATAAATTTGACAGAATGTGTCTGAACCTGACCCAGGCACTTAAATGTTTTCATAACTCCAGAAGCAAAGGAAAAACAAAAAGAAATGCCTTCACTATGCTGCACGGTCAGCTTTGAACAGATGCCCTGGATGTGAGCGGAAAGTGGCAAAGTTAAAATAGAAACGCTAATCCTATGGGAGCCCCTGTCTACTGTTTTCAGCCCTTCCTAAAGATTAAAAAATAAATAAATAAAAGGAGCAAGAAGCACAAATATACCCACAGTCTAAATACCAATACCCCCAAAAAAAGCAAAAAAAAAAAAAAAAAAAAAAAAAAAAAAAAAAGCCACAGAACATCACAAATACTACTAAAGGATAAAATAAATCACTGATTCTAAAATACTTTTTTTCAAGCTGTGATCTTTTTTAGAGGGTAGTAGTGATAACTGGATGAAAGAAGGTGAAGAGATTAATCAAATAACATATATGCATAGCCCATGAACACAGACAACAGTGTGGTGAAGGCCAGGGGGTGGGGTGGGGGTGAGGAACCTCTGTAATAGTGTCAACAATTAAAAACATGCTTTAACAATAAAAAATAAAAATATTAAAGACGAGAAGACAAAGTTCCTCCCTCCCTCCCTCCTTTCTTTCTTTCCTTCCTTCCTTCCTTCCTTCCTTCCTTCCTTCCTTCCTTCCTTCCTTCCCACCTTTTTCCCTTTCTTCTTACCTTCCTGATATTTTATTTATCTACTAGATGCCCAGTGCATGAAATTTGTGCACTTGGGGCATGGGTTTCTCAGCTTGTGCTGAACCCTCTCTTAGTCCGGGAGCCCTTTGGGGATGTCCGACTGATGGCTTAGGCCCACTCCCTGCCATCAGTTGGACATCCTTAGCACTGCAGTGGAGGCAGGAGAAGCTCCTGCCACTGCTGCTGCGTTCGCCAGCTGTGGGCCCGGTTTCTGGCTGAGAGGCATTCCCCCTGTGGGAGTACACTGGCCAACAGGGGGCAGCTCCTACATTGAGCGTCAGCCCCCTGGTGGTTCAGTCAATTTTCATATTAGCCTTTTATTATATAGGATGTATTTATATCTCTATCTTGGTATCTGGCAGCACACAAAATATAATGAGATAGTCCCATGAGAATAGAAGGCCAGATTATCAGCCTCTCAAACTCCGCCGAAGTAGTACATTGTAATGGGCTAATTGTAACAGTTACTAGGCATTGAGCCCACAGAGCTACCATGGAGTTTCTGTGGGCTCCTCCAAGTGCACAAATTTCATGCACTGGGCCTCTAGTTTATTTATATAACAGCTGAAGGGCTCTTCTGTACGTGAGGATTTGGAGATATCCAAGAAATATTATATCCTACCTAAGACATTTAGATATACAAACGAAAGAAATCCTAGGAATAGTGACTTATGCTTCCCTCAAGTTCCAGTTTAGAAAAGTATTTAATTTACTTTTAGCAAACGAGTACTGAGAATTCTCCTTTAAAGAAATTTTACCAGCAATTCAAGAACTACTTGGGCAGAAAACAGTTTATACCAACATATTGGTTGTTAAAATTTCAGGTGAATTGAAAGCGCTGTTTTTAAGTCGTAGTGTTGTCTGGTATGACCATGAGAATAAGGCTCAGTGATTAAGTGAGTTACTATCTCTTCAGATAGATACTGTTGGGAGAAACATTTCCTATTAGAACACTCTTCACGAGACTTGTGTGGCTTTGTAAGCGATCATTAGGAAGTTTCCCACTAAAATTAAAAACATATTCCTAAGTACTATTTTTCAAAATGACACAAATGTAAAAAGTATATGTAAAGATGCCAGATACTGGTGTGGTAAGAAAAGCCAAAGAACTTGTGTAAAAGCATGTTTCTTACTGCCTTTTATCTGAATAAACACTGCTGCACAGTTTATAAGGACTTGGAAATTCCATTCATGAAATTTACATATTTCATATAGAGTTACACGAAAAAACAGCCTGGTTATAACATCAGAGTCCACATTAAGACAGGTTTCAATGAGACATTAAGGGAGAGGTTGACTCTAAAATTACCACTTCACTTCAGGAAAAAATAAATATTTTTTAAAGCAAACTCCACATTGAATGATCTGAGCCAAGGCTAAAAGCAACTCTTTGTCGTCATTAACTTAGAGGCTACATCTTAGAAGAACACAGGATATGTGAAAATGGTATTAGCTTTTGAGGTCAGTTACGGATTTATTTGATTACATGAGCAGTAGCGATGGACAGTTATGATTTTCAATTCATCTTGACAAATATTTATTGGGCTTACCAGGTACTGCGGAATGACAGATAGAAAATATATGTCAAGGATAAATAGAACCTTGAGAGGAATGTGCAACAAGAACACAAATATGGAAGACTAGATTAAGCATTGGATAGAGGGTTTTAGAAGTGAATGAACTGAGATTGAAGTATGGTGTCTAAAATGTTAATGGATCGTACAATTTGTGTTTATCTAACAGTAAGTTGTAAATGCAAATAATGAGCTCAGAAAATTTCAATGACTAGAGATACACATTTGGGATTACAGGTTATCAGAACCAAATGAATGAATAAGATGGCCTAAGAATATGTAAAAAGAAGACCATGGAAAGAACCTCCCGGAATGCCCACACTCATGGGCAGGAGACATGCAGGCTAATGAAGGCGATTGAGAAGGAGCTTCCAGAGAAAAGAGGACTTTTGTAACTTGTGACTGAACCAAGTAAAGAGAGATTCTCCAATGCCAAGTGATGCAAAGAGGAGACGGAGGCATTTTAATGATAAAGGCCACTGGATTTTCTTGCCTTGGGAGCATGGAAGACCTTGGCAAAACCAGCGGTACAGCAGAGGTAGCAGTGGGTGAAGGTTAGGTCTAGTTTTATATCCTAGCATAAGCTTTCAAAGCCAAGAATTAGGTGGAGAATAAAATGTAAGAAAAATGAGTTAGAATATAATTGATAAAGAATGGTCTTGACAATGTCAGGAGGGGATGAAATTAAAAGCAGAGTGGGAATCGGTTAGTCTGGGAGGAAGGAGTAAGCTACGAAGGACAAGTGAAAACATAGATATGGCCACGTGTGGGAGAGGATGCCCAACAGTGCATGTCAGAAGCTTCTCAACCTCAGACCAGTATAAGCTGTAATTATAGGAGAGTGAAAGATTCACAGCTGAGGTTTTAAATATAATAATAAACAGGGGTACAATAGGAACTTTATAAGAAAAGCAGACTTCGAAAATTATATTTAGCCACAAAATAGTATTCACATCTTACATTGACTGAAGTTGGAGTGCAATTTCTTCCTTAGCTCGGAATACCTATTCCACCACTACCTATCTTATAATGATGTTTACAGACAACTTTTATTGTATACCCATTTCTTAAACTAGTAGAGAAACAACCTAATTTCATGGACTAGTTCTAATATTGCAATAAGACAAGTAAATAGATTTCATCAATGCCTACATAGTAGTCAGGAATGTTACATAAATATTAAGATATTGTTAATTACTGCCTTACAGGCAAACTAGTTTCTTTAAAAAAATTGTTTTATTTTGAGTAGTGGTTCTCAAACTTTAGAGTGCATGAGATTTACCTGGAGGGCTTATTAAAACACAGATGGATGGGTCTCCTCTCTAGAATTCCTGGGTTGGAGCCTGAGAATTTGCATTTCTAACAAATTCTTGGGTGATACTGATTTTGCTCCTCTGGTCTGAAGATCACATTTTGAGAACCACTGCTATAAGGCTAGCCATTCAACAACATGTAGGTCTATAAGCTGGAGTATTTTCATTCAAATTGTCTATTGAAGTAAACTGACAAACTAGAATTCATGAATATATTAAAACAGTACCATCAATACTTTTAAAAAATATCAGTATTTGGCTCATTAAGTTCACTTTCAAATGTTATCTGGAACAGAACATATCTATCATTATCATTGCAAAATGGATCCATGTATTAATAAAAATGTCACAAAATTTGCTTTAGTTGGGAAACCACTCACCCAGGCTTAAAATGTCTTCCTCTCTTCATTCGGGTCATTATCATTACCTTTCACTGTAATATGTGCCAGGAACTATTCTAGGTGCCATATATATATATTAATCCATTTACACACAACCCTATAAAGCAGTTTATTTTACTTCATCAACTCCAATTTACAGATGTGGAAACTGAGGCATAAAGACATTAACTATCTCACTGATGGTCAGACAGAAATAAACACTGGGGACTTTTTGGTTTCAGTAGCATAGTCCTTACTATTAGACTCGTTTTCTACACACTGAAGTATAATTTGAGCTCAACTACTTACCTGTTCCAAGAAACAGGACATGGTATCTGCCATCAGCAGCATTCACTCGATCCACAGCTATCTTTGTGTACTTGTAGTCAGCGCCTATCCGGACGATCAAGGGCCTTTTGTGGATCGGGTAGATGGAATTGTACATGAGAGGGTGGTTCCGAATGAAAGTGACAACATCATCTGGGAACTCCTTGGTGGTTCGCATGTTGGGTGTAAATGCTCCTCCTGGGCACTAAAAAATATTTTTTAAAAACCAAGTTAATAAAATACTTACTTAGTTTCAGTAATGATTAAAAGTCCTCAACTTTTCAAAATATTTAGCTCAAGTTGTTTTAAGTGTATCTGCTGCCCACTGAGGAGTACACACCACAACCATATATAGTACTATATAGTACTATCTGTAAAAAATGAATATACAAGGTGTACAATTTGATTATTTGAATGAGGCTAAGTCCACTCATTCTATCCTTTTTCTTTTCTGAGAGGAGCTGACACCACTGCGTATATAACTTTTCACCTTCTTCATCCGTTACTTTTCTATTTCTTATTCTGTGCCAGATAGAGTATTGTTAGAAAAAAACATCATGTGGATATAATCAAATGCTGTTACTGGCTAAAATAAATTAGACTATCATTATCAAATTCAATCAGAACTCTAATGTGCAGGAATTTTATTCCATCTGATCCCTTCTCCCAAAAGAGTGTCCTCTGAAATCGGGGCTTGGATTGGATGTGGTAAATTAAACCTGACAATTCCCCTCTGAAACCACTGAAAAAGCCCCAGTGACTTCTATTAATCTTAGAATAAAATCCCAACAGCCTAGCACAGCCTGCAAGCCCCCGTGTGCCTGGCCCGCATCTACCACTCCCATCCCAGTTCTCGCTCTTCTGGAGCCCCAGGCATCTGCCCTCCAGCACCTTGGCACTTGTTATTCCCTATCTGAAACACTCCACGCAAGTCCATGATTTTCTCTGTTACCTCATTCAGTTCTCAGTTGAAAAGTGTCTTCCTTCAAGGTGATGACACATATAAAAATAGCTCCCCTTCTCCATTTCCACTATCTCCTTAGCCTGCTTTATTTTGCTTCAGAGTCCTATTTGCCTAACGGTACATGATATTAGCTGTGCACATATATAAATTTTAGAGAGGAAGGGAGAGAGAAACATCATTGTGAGAAAGAAACATCGATCAGTTGCCTCTTGTACACACCCTGACTGGGGATGGAACCCACAACCTGGGCGTGTGCCCTGACTGTGAATCGAACCTGTGACCCTTTGGTGTACAGGAGGACGCTCGAACTGAGCCACATCGGCCAGGACAGCTGCTTGGATTTTTATTGTCTGTTTCTCTCTCTGGAATGTAAGCTGTATATTCTGTTCATTGTTTCACCCTTGGACCTATGACAAATAGTACATATTTGACAAAGAGTAGTGAATTACTCTATTACATCTGGCATCTAATTTTGGTGCAGGGGCTGTAAGAAACAGGGACCTCTATTCTGGCTAAGAGGGGGAAGATGCAGAGAATCAGGTTCAAAGGGGCAGACAGAAAGCCAAAATGAGTTCTGAAAAAGGACTGCTGGGCGGCTTCAGCAGTTCTGGGCAGGGAGCACGACGAGGGCTTCTGAGGAGAAAGAAGATTCCATTTATAGGGCACCCGAGGCCAAACTCAAGGGTAGCCTGGGAGCTGCTGTAACCTACTCACGAATAGAATCTGAGTGTTAAATGATATGAGGAAAGCTGCTGGGTATAATTTTAATTTGTCCTCAGCTAAGGATCTGTTTATTGATTTTGGAGAGAGAGAGAGAGAGAGAGAGAGGGAGAAAGAGAGAGAGAGAGAGAGAGAGAGAGAGAGAGAGAGAGAGAGAGAGAGAGAGAGAGAGATTGGAGAGAAACATTGATCAGTTGCCTCTGGTTTGCATTCCTACTGGGAATCAAACCCAAAACCTTTTTGGTGCACGGGACCCTGCTTCAACCAAATAAGCCACCCAGCCAGGGCAGTTACAATCATTTAACACAAACAGACATTATTTGTCTAACCCTATTAAACACTTGTCAATATCTCTACTTTCTGGAAAACACACACACACACACACACAAAACATATTTTGTCATATTTTTCTTGAAAAGAAGACTACCGTTCTGGTTTTCATTTATCTTTTTTAAAGAGGTACAAGAAAAAAAAGGAAGCAATGCAGCAAGCTTCCTGACCATAACAGTGGGCACAGCATCTGTGGTAAACAGTAACAAACTGGAAAGTTACACCTTATCCAAAGGTGGCAATGAACATTCATTTCCAGCTGATTGCTTCTATGCAGGAATATAAGCCAAGGGTGGCCAGATTTCAACAGAAGATAGAAATGTGGAATTTTATGTGAAATCTTCCAAAATTTTAATGTTGACTCAATGAAAAACACACACACACAATTTTAGGGATCAAATAAAACATGGCAACCTCTGAGTTAGTCCTTGCAACAGCTATCCAATAATGTTGGTGCCTCTGGGCCAGTAGCACCAGACAGACCAACATCTGCAAGTAAGTCTCAGCAAATAACTAATGCGGCCATATTCATTTAGACTGAGTGATGCTGAATGCGATTTTTAGGCTAACTTTGACCAGTTAACATTACTAGAACTTTTTACAGGGCCAGTCAATATAGTTCTCTTTTTTGTAGAAAGGCACAAGGAGCAATTAAATGACTTTAGTAAGGAGAGATAATGAGAAAAGTCATAAAACTAAGCCTCTTATTCGTTATCCCATTAACTAGACTTTCATCTGGGGTTCATATGTTTTTCTTCTGCAAAAAGAGGCATTATATTTAAATATGAATATTTATAAATTGCCCACAATGGAGACCAAATGAGGGTAAAGAATTTCATTTGAGGGTGTTCTAAACTGATGGATGTGTTCCATGCTTCTCAAAAAGTATAGAATTACGGGTATTTTCTACCCTCATTCTTCATACAAAGTGGAAAAAGGGAAATACATTGCTCATGGAATGAATACATGGAAAGAACAAATGCATGGGCAATTTAAATAGTTCCAGACCTTCATAAAACACCACTAATTATGGTCTGGGAAGCTGAGTTGTCTCCTTAAACATTTGCAAGTGCTCTCATTTGTAAGTTCCAGAGAGATCCAAAGTTAGCACATATTACAATTTGTATAATTTCCAGTTAGCAATTATTTTCAAGCGTGATAAAGTATTTAAATTATGTGTCTTATTTAGGGATTTTACTTCATGATCATTAAAACTCAGATAAAAATTATGTTGCGGTTGCTCAAAACCATAGTTATCAATTAGATAATGCAAACAAATAAATTCAAATCAGTTATTTTATATTTTCTCAAATGTCTTCCATTTGGAACTTCTATTTATAATATTCACAATGAACTTCTTTCTTAGGAACAAGTGACTCCTAGGATAAGTTTACTTCAAAATCACAAAAGAATCCTTTTTGACAATAATTAATTTTTCCCATTGATTCATGACATAAACTCTACAGATAAGATAGAATAAATGACAATGATGGTGACTGGAACAAAAATCGATTACCCTTTGCAGACTCTCTATCTGAACTTGAGAGTTTGCTCAGGGTAACACTGCCGAGTATAAATAAGATGCGATCAACTTAGCCCTCATCTTGTGTCTGTGAAAGCTTGTGTCTTGAAATCTAAAGATAATATAACATCCGTGCGCTACCATAAAATAAAGCCTTTGCCCATTAATTAGGCTAGTATCTCATTCCTCAGAAGGATAATTTTACTCCACAAACAGTCATTAAGTAATTTTGGTTAAACTTCTCCTTTTAGTGTTTGCTTTTCTCCAGTTCTAGCTTTCTGTCTATCAAGCAGTGATAAGCACTCCTTTTCTGAGTGAAGACATTGTAAGTGTTTTGATTACTAAAGTGTTAGGTGAAATGCTAGGGACAATAAGAATGCCATGTGAAGAAGTGTGAACAATTGTTGCTCTTACTTAATTTTGTTCCTATTCCCAGGTATTACTGCGCATGGCTGACCTCTGATGTTCCTAAGTGTTCTCCTAATCCTCACATCCATTCTACTAGTTTTCATCATTCATGTATTCTATATTAATTCACATGTCCATTCTCTGGGCAGCTTTTTATCCAAGAATCATTTTGATGTGCCCAGTAGAAAAATTAAGAATAAAAAGCTGCAATTGTCTTCTAGACACAAGTATTCTGGTAAGAAAGATGGACACAGTCAAAGCAAAATAACAAGACACATAAAAGTAATTTAAGACAAATATAAAATAAACAAGAGAGCTTGATTCATAATCAATTGCCATATATGTTTAAGAGTCATCTGTAATATTAAGGGGGACATCTGTAATATTTCAACAATAAAGATAAATTTTTTTAAAAAAGAGTCAAAATTTTTAAACACATTTAGAATAGTGGAAAACTGAAGGCTGCTGGAGTCAGTGATGTGGCTTAGAGATAAGTAAACAAAGTTTGGAGTACTTAGAGAGTTGTAATTTCTGGGGCATTGTTGGGTCATGGAACACAAAGTGGAGGAAAGAAGTAACAGCTGAGGCTGAAAACAGCAGAAAATAATGCAGAACTAGTCAGAGAAGGAGTCACTGGCATGGTCAAGGGGAGCTTGACCTAACACTTGAAAGATGAGTGGTAAATGGATAAATAGATAGACTTAGAAACATTCCAGAATCTGGGCTAGTTACTAGTATTGGTCTATAAAACTTGTATTCTGAGGAAACTGACCTCATGTTTAGACCCTTGGTAATCTAGACCCTTTATTTAAAGCCCAAACAATTACATAAAGTCTTGCACTTAATGCACCAGCTGGCCCTCTTCTTCCTCACATTTCCCTCCACTTCCAGAAGAACCCTCTGCTCAGTCCTGCTAGGCCACGCAGAGCTTCTAGGGCTCACTTATTCTTTTCTTTCTTTGCCTTGTAATGTGTAGTGTAACCTTTGCTTGAGATATCCTTCCTTCCTATCCAACTAATTCATATCCAACTGCCCTTCAGAATGAGCTCAACTCATATATTTTTACATGCCTTCCCAAACAAGGCTGATGGACACTCGCTCCTCCAGACTGCAATATTTACTGTCTATTTTATTCATGTGTTTTTTGGTGTGTGGTTTTTTGCAATCCTCACCTGAGGATATGCTTTTTATTGATTTTAGATGAAGGAAGGAAGGGAGAAAGAGAAAGAGAGAGAGAGAGAAAGAAAGAGAGAAAGAAAGAACTCGATGTATCAATGCGAGAGAGAAATATTGATCAGTTGCTTCCCCTAAGTTCCCTTACCTGGGGTGCAAGCTGAAACCCAGTGAATGTGCTTTGACCAGGGAATCAAACCCATGACCTGGTGCATGAGACAATGCTCCAACCAACTGAGCCATACCAGCCAGGGCTATTCACACATTGTGAATGAATTGAAAAAGTATGCAATTTGAATGTTCATGTCTACATGCCCTATGTGTTTAATATTATTATAAACTTTATTAATATTTTCAAACATCTCAGAGACATAGAAATGCTTCTAACGTAAGAACAGTAGGTCGATGCATTGTAATCAATAAAAGTGCTAGCAATCAACTTCTCTTTTTCTTGCCAGCACTAGTGGATTGAGAATTTCTTTTGTTCTTTTGCTCTACCAGATACCAGACCTGGTCAAAGCAACATGATTGAAACCGATGGTTCAAACCGAACACTTTCATTAGGCTCTGCTTGAACAGGCTGGCATGTGCAAACACAATCTGCAGAGGCTTTGTACACATTGCAACGGGATCATGTAATATGTTAGCTCAGCCACAGAGAGAATCTGCAGTCTTTGGCAGCCCTTTGCAACATACCAAAGGTGTCTTGTTTCTTCCACAAACTTGAATTACTTATGGAACAACATTATGACACAATTGTCAGGCTTCTTCCTACTGACTTAGACTTGCTGGTGGGGCAGTTTGCTAACACAGCTCTCAGTCCTGTTTTAAATGACACACCTACAGGGAACATTACAACGAGGGTGTAAGATTTCTGCCAGTGTCATTTCTTTTACGAATCCGGTTATATGTTTATGAGGGTGACCTGGCAACTGGACTACTGTGTAGGGAAATAACGTATGGCAATCCTTCATTGGGAGGATTTCAGAGGCAACATTCTTAACCCTAGAGAAGAGGCAATGCTCTGGGTCACTTGGCTGTAGGTCTTCTGGCTCCATGAATGGGATATGAAATCCTGGAAGCGCAGGGAAGAGACAGACACTGGCCACTCTGAGTCAGAGAGCTGACACTGGGTGTGTCGTTCAGTAAAGGGTGGAGGGGCTGAATCTTCAGGGAGGAATGCTTTCCTAGGAGGACTTCCAGAGGTCGTTCCTCCACCCTGCCTCCTTGATTCCCGAAGGCTCACTCATTTGACTTTTTTAATTTAAAAGAGCTGCTCTTTTCTCAGCACCAGATGTAAGAGAGCCCATTATAGAAATATGGCTCAAGGACTGATTACTCCCTTTTTTTTTCACGGAGTCAGCTCCAGATGCTTGTTGCTAAGCCCAGCTTCTTCCACACTGCTTTAGAACAGGGAAAAGAAAATGCTCATTTTTGGAGCTTGGGAATAGTGAGAGTGGGACTGCTGGCAGGCTCTTCTAGTTTCACATTAGTTTACTGTTTTACTAAAAAGGGTTTCTCCATCCCCACCTTTTATGTAGAGTAACTGCTATCTGACGTGAGGGGTTCTCGCACTGTGATGCTCAGTGTCCCTTTGATCTGGGTGAAGAGTCTGATGAGCACTGGGACGAGGGAGGCTTTAGGGGGGAAAATTCCTGATTTGTAATATTTGCCAATTTCCATAGTGCAAATACTCCCACAATGCTGATTTCAGGTTATTAGCATGATGTCCTTACTTGAGACAAGGTGCACTGTTCTCGTGAGCTGGTATAAGCTGCCCGCTCCCCCCCCCCCCCCCCACTCATTGCAGCTCTGGGGCCATGAATCCTGATTAAATTAGTGTGGCTAGCTTTTATTTGTTTTATTGATTTATCCAAGGGCTTTCTCTTAAGGTATTGAGTTTACAAATCAATTGCTCCTGTACTATATCCCATGTATGTGCTGTTCAAAGACAAATGGATAAAAGTATACACCATCAGCCCTGGCCGGCGTGGCTCAGTGAGTTGGAACGTTGTCCCATGTACTGGAAGGTGGTAGATTTGATTCCCAGTCAGAATATACACATATGCACACACCCTGGTCAACCTCATGTGGGTAGCAGCTGATCAATGTTTCTCTCTCTCTTTCTTTCTCAAAAACAATAAAATCTTTTTTTTAAGTATATGTAATAACAACCAACTCTAAATTTACTGTATTATGGTGAAGCAATGACTTGGTCAACTTCAAATATCAAGTAATTCTCAAAAATGTGATTTATCTGTGAATACATTATCAGTGAGTCACCTGGAAATGCAAGAAATACAGTGAGTGAAAAATGAGCACTTTAGAGTTATAATGGAATTTGAAAGTTGCTCAATCCCCCCTTTACTTGCCCCTCTCTTATGTAATGTCTGCTTTTTATCCAACACTCCCTAAACTGAGGTATCTTAAAATGGCTATATCTCTTGACTTCTTTTTCTATGTCATACAAAATAATTAAATGTTTTTATTTTCCCCGTTTTTTGTTGAGCTATGAGCATCATAAAGAGGTAATTTAAAAGGAGATTATGAATTCTATGATAGGACTGTGTTGCCAGCAATAATTGAGTATGGTTTTTAAAATATATCTTTTTCATGGATTAGTGGCAATGCTGATAATCCTTCCAAAGTTAATTAAAAGTTAATTTGCTAATAAAATGATTAACCTTTATGGTTCCTAACAGGAAACCAAACTTGCGCCCTTTTATTTTGAATAAATAAGTTCTTTAAAGTCTTTGCAAATAATTTCTTCTATTGTAAAAAAATTGACTACAGTATAATTTAAGATGATAAAAAATAAGGGAGTAAATAATACATTGTAAATAAACTCTAATAGTTACACAAAAACAAAGTGGATCAACAATTGGTAAAAATGATGTAGAATGGATATCTGAAAGCATATAGGCAAAGGGAATTTCATATTCAAGTTAAAGAAAAAAACGCTTTAAAAGTAAATATTATTTTAACGACTATATTTTAATTTTGTCCATAAAATCATTCAATCATTCTTTACTTACATACACCCTATTTTATAATTTTGACTCTATTCTACGAAAGCACAGACATAGGAAAACGATATTTCTCTTGATGTCAATTGTGTAATATCTATATTTCCTCTCAGTCAGTACACTGTATGATATTTTACAGAGACAGAAACTAATCAGTATTCTAGCGTGCAAGACAGCTATATTATGGGTCAAATAAAAAACTAACAGTAGGACTGTGGTCATTGTTGTCCTAGAAACATTTCAATTCCAATCTGCCAGTGCACTTTCTACAACTTTACCTGAAAAAAGGTTAGTTTTAATGTACTCTTTGATATTATTAATATTGCAAGACTCAGATATATTTGTATGCCTTGAAACTTTATAGTTTATAAATCGTTTGAATTGTAACATCACTTTCACTGTAATTATTTACTCACACATACCATTTTCTATCTATGAGAAATAACATAGACTTTTAAAATAAATATACCCCTTAAAATTGAAATATCTCCACATGATTTATCTTTAAATTAATTCTCACCTGGTTATTTCTTTACTAGAATAGATGAGATTCCTTAATATAAAGAAGAGTTGTGAAAAGCGACTAGCATCCAAATTCTTAGGTTGTCACCAAAAGGTTAACACTTTCCAAGCTATGGTTTTTATGTTAATACAATTAGGAAAATATCTGTGCCCTGATACATAACCAGTAGCCTTGAAATATAAATAAGATTTATTAATAATAGCATTTAGGAAAAAATATAGAGTGTTATAACATATATGACGTATTTGGAAAATCCCAAATCTGGGAAGCTGTGACCTGAAAATTTATGGGCCCAGCACGCTTCCGCTGCGCTACTCTGCTGACCTGAAAATTTATAAAAAATATATCAGTAGGTCTATGGTTGTATTTAATGACTGTCAAACTGATTTACATTTTAAAATTCCATTTTTTAAAAAAGCAAAATAACAAAGAAACTTTTCTGGATACTTACAGTTCCAGGGCGAGGATATGGAATTCTACCCTGATAGGAAATCAGCTGATGATTTGGCCCTTCTTTGTGGGCAAAAGGACCATTAAACACAGTCTGTATATCAGATAAATGATACACGCACACTGCTGATCCTTTAAAAACTGAGCTAAAAAAAAAAAAAAAGAAAACAGAAAGAGATCCATTTTCTGATTATTTTAATTTAAACACAATTTTAAAAATAGATGGCAAAGTTCATGATAAAAAGTTAATATAATTCTTCATGGAGAAGTTCAATTTTATAGTACACATTGTAAAGCTAAAAAGCTTCTACTATTTTGAAATAAGCCATTGATACAAAAAGCATTAAGACATTTAATTCATTCATGAATGTAATAGACAATAAGTTATAGAAAAGTTCTTAATGTTTCTGTAATATAGTATAGGTTAAAGAAGTTACTAACTAGTTTATCTTAGAAACAAAAAATTGATTTATTTAAAATATGAATTTGAATTCTAAATCACTATCAATACAGCCTATTATAACTTAACTGACAGAAACAAATTTCATTCATAAGAGAATATCATCTCTTTGTCTTGACTTTTAATGTGAGAGTGTTCTTACAGGTTATCCTAAATAGTATTGGAAAAGTCTGAATCATCATTATTTATGTACTTTCCCTGCTAGTCACAGAAAAAAAGGGGATCTAAAAAGATTCATTAAGTTACCTTTAGTCAGTAAAATCCCATAAACTTAGATTGGATCCTTAATGAAAACCACTGGCATTATCACTAAGGCAGATTGACTGAAACCAACTTTTCTCCAATTCACGTATTTCTCTTAAATTAGATGCATAATGGAAAACTTAGATGGCCAATGAAAACTTATATGCCCATTGAAAAAACAAGGTATATTATTAATTATTAGCATTAATAATCAGAAATGACCACATAAATTTTTTAATCTTAAAGCTATTGGTATGGGAAAAACAGAAACTAGGAAAATATTTTTTTGAAACGAACACTTTCTTCTTAAGAATTTGGTTATTTTTTTCTTTGTTGAATTTTTTGCGAATTAAATCAAACTACTTTCTTTGTTAGAACAGAAGTTAAACTTATCCCAAAGGACATCTTTTTAGATATCTTAAGGGCAAATGTAAATATGATGTAAACCAGTATCCCTGTGGTTTTATTTCTCATTGAATGGCTATAGTTTGCAATCATATCATGTTTCCCTTACTAGAAAATACTACTAAAATCTCTAAATTTTCACTTTGTAGTTGATTGTCTAATGAAAGGGACCCAGTAGATTCTGCATTCCATGCTGGAATATTATATTGAATTCTGAGTAACATTCCTAATGTAAAATAAAATAAAAATGTGTACAGGAAATGGTGAGGATATGGTGTATATAATAATTGGGCTTAGGCATTCTAGAGAATTAGAAAACATCAAATATATTTTTAAATATATTTTCAAATATATTCAAGTATATGAAATACTGCCACATAGAACATAAAAACATGTTCAGCATTTTGCTAGTTTCTAAGTAATCACCTTAGATTGTTCTAGAAGTAAAAGTTGTTTAATAGAAATTTAAAAAGTTCTATTGGAATCATGAGTCTTCAAATTATTTCCTTAAAAGAAAAATCATATATACTTTATTCTGCATTATAATTCAATTTTTTCTTTCTTTGAGAAAACATCATACAATCATTATACTCTGTACAAAACTGTTTTGAAAACATTAGTTCAGCTTATAAGCAAAAGTAACAAAACAGGAAGCTTAAATCCTTAATGCTAGGCAAATTTAAAAGTTGAAAAGAGCCTTGGCTGGTGTGGCTCAGTTGGTTGGAGCATTGTCCCATTCACTGAAAGGTCTCGGGTTTGATTCCCGGCCAGGGCACATACCCTGGTTTCAGCTTCAATGCCCAGTCAGGGCGCATGTGGGAGGTAACCAATCAGTGTTCACTAGCATAATGATATTTCACTCTCTCTCTCCCCCTCTCCCTTCCTTTCTAAAATCAATACAAGCATGTCCTTGAGTGATTAAAAAAGAATTAAAAAATTGAAAAGAATGCTTTAGCAATAATTACTATTGCTCAATAAAGTTTATTGTTTAAATCATAAGATATAATTATTTAATAATTACCTTGATGTTGTAAAAATGCCATACACTAGTGTTGTCCTTGGGTTATCAGTTTCAAGCAGAAATACATCCTCTATAAAAGAGAAATATCATTCTTTCAAGTTCCCAAATATTAAATGTATTTTTAAAATTTACCCTAAGAAAATAACTTAAACTATGAAAAGAATTCGGAAAGAGATTCCTGCAGCATCATTCCAATTTAAAAACTAAATGAATTAAATTATAGGCACATGGTAAAATAAATTAAATAAAATGTCATACAACCACTAACAGGATTTATGAAGACTATAACATTATGAAAACCATGCTAATAAAATAATATTAAGTGAAAAAGGCACAATGGAATATAAGGTGAACTAGAACCATGTAACCTTAAACTATTTCTGCTGCTTTTTTTCTCTGCATTTTCTAAATATCCTTTAATGATTATATACATTTTTCTGAGGTAGGGTTAGAAGTTCTGACATGGAAGAAAACTTTTGCACAGGGACTTTTTTCTTCATACAAAATAAGAATTTTTTTGGCTTATGGTCAAAGTTGCTAGTGATATTTTTAATTAACAATTCCTCTGACAACAAGAAGTTTAAAGTATATTAAAGCAAAGACAATGACATAGACAATAAAGTAATAAACAACAAAACCTGGAAGTAACTTTCTGACAAAAAACTGCAATTAATAAACAATTGTTATGATTACAAGAAATGTCTGTTTTTAGTGACATTGTTGCAAATAAAATTCTTGTTGAGGAATACAAAGAAAGAGCTATTTATTTTAAATTCAAAGTGAATTTAGGAATATATCATGGAGAATTCAATGAACTAAATGTTTCAGCAATGCATTCAGATACAAAACAAATTTTAAAAATACTTAAAAAATTTATTGAGTATCCAGATCATTAATTCAAATGGACATATTGTTAATGCTGAAAACATCCATGTAAGATACATCCTCTCCTGAGAGTTTATTATTAAATTTTATAAACTTTACAAAGTCTCTTTCGAACATTTTTTCAGATTCACATCTATGTACCTAGTTCATCGAAGTGTGTTTCCGGGCCATCTTCATCGGTTACCGAGCACACCAGCCTCGCTTTTAGGAAGGTAGTCCACTTGTTGACAAGGCTACGCAGTCCACCCGTGTCATTCTGAAACCGTTTTGTGAACACATTTCAGTTTGCCTAAGTAAATACTGAAGTCTATTACAACTTGGATTTGTATTAGTCGGGGACTTGAAATCTGAAGGATGACTATGTTAACCATATTTGAATATCAATAGTTAGAGAGGAATATTTAAGATATATAGTATGTTATAAAATAGCCACAGGTTATATACTATTATTCTTCTACAGTGTTGTATCAACTGGAGATGTTTTAAAAAAGAATTGAATGAATATATTTCCTAAAGCTTTATAAACATAACAATAAATGATGGAAATATTTATAAAATGTTACGGAACATAGGTAATTTAATGTGCCTTTTCTTTACACCTCATTGTCTCCAATATGAATATTACTGTATACAGTGAGTTTGCAGATCCTACTGTGGTCAGCAGAGTTGATTTATACTTAACACCAAATGGCCCCCAATAGTTCTAATTTTCTCCTTCATTTTTCTGTGTTAGCCTTTACTCCTCAGTATACCTAGTCAGATGCTTTAATATACATATTTCCCCAAATAGGACAGGGAAAATGGTATTGGGATCATTCACCGATAGTCTCTATTGATAACATATTTGTTTGTTTTCTGTATGCCCAGCAGCCTTCCACTCCTTCAGCCGGCTTTGCCGCCTTACTGCAAGTGATTGAGAGGCAGGTGAGTTCCACTATCAGTGGAGCAGTATAATATTGAGAAGTATTTTAAACACTAAATGCTTTAAGAAATAATTCTGCACAAAGGATGCTAATCATAAATGTTAGGAAAAGCCTGTAAAACTCCTGTATGAGTGGATATCATGATTCTTTTGAGCTGAATATATATTTACTGTTAAAACAAAAATATTTTGATTACTGTTTATAATTATATTTTATTAAAGCCTTCCTTTACATTTGCTGTTGTAGATAGCTTCTCAGTAATTATTTTAATAAAGTTTCCCTATATTTTATTCACAATAATTATTCTGTTTCTTTCTATAATATAAAATTTAGCTATTTGTAATACTAATAATTAAATGAAATAGCAAAATTAATCAAAATTATTTATATAAACCCACAACCAAAATATTTCTATGAATTAAACTTTATGTTGAAATATGGTATTTATCTCTTATGAGAGATGTGAATAAACATTAAGTTCAAATGTCTCCTATTAATATTTGATTAATTTATAATAGTAGATAATAAAAGTAGAAAAGTATTAGAAAAAGAAAAAAAATTACATAATTTAATTTTTAAGTTTTTCTTCAAATTATAATAGTCAAAGCAATCTTGAGAAAGAAAAACAAAATGGAGGTATCACATCCTAGCTTTCAAGCTGTAATATAAAGCTGAGATATGGGATAAAACAGACGAATAGATCAATGGAACAGAATAGAGAGCCCAGAAATAAACCCATGCATATATGGTCAATTAATTTATGACAAAGAAGTCACAAATATAAAATGGGGGGAAATCATTTCTTCAATAAATGGTACTGGAAAAATTGAACAGCCACATGTAAAAAAAAAAAGAAAGGAAGGAAGAAGGAAGGAAGGAAGGAAGGGAGGGAAGGAGGGAGGGAGGGAGGGAGGGAGGAAGGAAGGAAGGAAGGAAGGAAGGAAGGAAGGAAGGAAGGAAGGAAGGAAGGAACTGGACTACTTCCTACACCATACAAAAAAGTTAACTCAAGCCCTATGTGGTTTGGCTTAGTGGATAGTATGTTGGCCTGCAGACTGAAGAGTCCTGGGTCCAATTCCTGTCAAGGGGTCATGCCTGGGTTGCAGGCTTGATCCCCAGTAGGGGGGCGTGCTGAAGGCAGCCAATTAATGATTCTCTCTCATCATTGATGTTTCTATCTCTTCTCCCTCTCCCTTCCTCTCTGAAATCAATAAAAATATATTTTTAAAAGCTTAACTCAAAATGTATTAAAGACTTGAAAGTAATACCATAAACCACAAAAATCCTAGAAGAAAATAGGTGGTAAGTTCCTTGACATAGGTCTTGGGAATGATTTTTAAAATTGACCCCAAAAGTAAAGTAACAAAAGCAAAAATATACAAGTGTAACGACCTCAAACTAAAAAGCTTCTGCACAGAAATGAACACTATCAACAAAACGAAAAGGCAACCTACTGAATGGAAAAACCATCCTATATAATAAAAGGGTAATATACAAATTGACCCTAACAGCAGAACGACTAGAAATGACTGGTCACTATGACACACACTGACCACCAGGGGGCAGATGCTCAATGCAGGAGCTGTCCCCTGGTGGTCAGTGTGCTTTCACAGGGGGAGCTCTGCTCAGCCACAAGCCAGGGGGACGGCTGCCAGTACAGTGGTGGTGATGGGAGCCTTTCCCGCCTCCTCAGCAGCACTAAGTATGTCCGACTGCAGCTTAGGCCTGCTCCCTGCTGGCAAGTGGACATCCCGCGAGGGCTCCCGGGCTGCCAGAGGGATGTCTGATTGCCAGCTTAGGCCCAATCTCCCGGGGAGTGGACCTAAGCCAGCAGATAATCATCCCCTGAGGGGTCCCAGACTGTGAGAGGGCACAGGCTGGGCTGAGGGACCACCCCCCCGAGTGCACAAATATTTGTGCACTGGGCCTCTAGTTTGTAAATCATATATCTGATAAGGGATAATATCCAAAATATATAAAGAATCCATACAACTTAATAACAAAAAAATCAATTACAAATGGGCAGAAGATCTGAATAAATATTTTATCAAAGAAGACATAGACATACAGATGGCCAACAAGTTCATGAAAAGATGCACAACATTGCCAATTACCAGGGAAATGCAGATTGAAACCACAGTGAGATATCACTTCCCACTTGTTAGAATGGCTGTTATTAAAAAGACTAGAGGTCCAATGCAAGAATAGGCCTTCCTTCCCCTGGCTGCTGACACTGGCTTCCCTCTGGCACCCGGGACCAAGGCTTCCCTTTGACCGTGGGCAGGCACCCAGGACCCGGGCTTGCCTCACAGCCCTGGCTTTGTCTGGAAGGATGTCCAGTCTAATTAGCATATTATGCTTTTATTATTATTAAAAAGATAAGATATAAAAAGTGTTGGCAAGGATATGGAGAAAAGAGAATCCTTGTGCACTGTTGGTGGGAATATGATTTGTTGCAACCAATATGGAAAATAGTGTGAAGGCCCGACTGGTGTGACTCAGTGGTTGAGTGTCAGTCAACCCATGAACTAGGAGGTTGTGGTTTGATTCCTGGTCAGGGCACATGCCGGGTTTGTGTGAGCTCAATCCCCAGGGAGGAGGAGGGGGCAGTGTGCAGGAGGCAGCCTATTGATGATTCTCTCCTCATTGATGTTTCTATCTATCTCTCCTTCTCTCTTCCTCTCTGAAATCAATATATATATATATATATATATATATATATATATATATATATATATGCATATATATATATTAAAAGAAAATAGTGTGAAGATTCTTCAAAAAATTAAAAATAGAACTATCAAATAATCTAGCAATTCCACTTCTGGTTATTTATCAGAATAAATGGAATACTAATTCAAAAAGATATATGACCCCATTGCATTATTTACAAGAGCCAAGAGAGTGAAACAACCTCAGTGTCTACCAACAAATGAATGGATAAAGAAATGAGGCATATAAACACAATTATCAGAGAAATAATATTATTCAGCCTAATCTTATTGTTCATGATAATGTAGATTCGCATTATGCTAAATAAAATAAGTCCTACAGAGAATGACAGATATGTATGCTCTCCTTTTTATGTGGCCTAAACAAAAGCAATAAAACAGCTCATGGATACAAGAACAGATCAGTGGTTGCAAGAGACAGAGTGAGGTGTGGTAGAAGTGGTTAAAATGGGTGAACTCTGTTGTTGTTTTTGTTTTGGGGGGTGTTTTTTGGTTGCTTTATTTTTTTAGTTTAAATAAATTGAATTTTTTAAAAAAAATATATTTTATTGATTTTTTACAGAGAGAAAGGGAGAGGAATAGAGAGTTAGAAACATTGATCAGCTGCCTCCTACACACCACCTACTGGGGATGTGCCCACAACCAAGGTACCTGCCCTTGACTGGAATTGAACCTGGGACCTTTCAGTCTGCAGGCTGACGCTCTATCCACTGAGCAAAACTGGTTAGGGCTACATAAATTGAATTTTAAAATGTTAATACTTACAGGACATATTCTAGCGATCATGGAATGAATCTGTTTTGTACTTCTGCTATTGTCAGTCAGTTTCTCCTTGAAGAAAAAGTAAATCTTAGCATCGTTTGGATCAGTTCCATCTGGGATGACATGTGCATCCACAAACATAGGTTCTGAAAAGAAATACAGAGACTATAATATATTCATGCGAAAAATCCATCTACTGTTCATCCAAGTAGACCACAGACACGTGGTTTCTCCATCTCTGGTGTAAAACAATAATTTGATGTTCATAGGCAAAAAGTATAAAAGCAGTAATTGTATTCAGACAACCTATCGCATTTCAAATGTCAAGTGCCACAAAATATAGTTATAATATGACAGCTCAAACTATTTTTCTCTGTCTACAATATATTCTGGAAGTGTAGTAAATGCAAAAAAAACCTTTGTGCACTGATGAGTTTTAAAAATTTGAAAAACTATTCTACCAGTTATTTCCCTTGGAATCTGACAGTCAGTCGTTTTACGGGGGAAAAAAAGGTTTGTTTTTCAAAGTGTGGTTTTCAATCTAGTGCATATAAACTCAAATTCACCGAAGCAGAATGGAATGAGGAGTTGGGAGTCCAAGATCTGAAAAACACATTTTTCTTAAAATACAGTGTATGAAATAAAAGGGAAACTTTTCAAGGAAAAAAGTGACGTCATTTGAAGACATAGAGGAATTCCTTATTTCAAGAACAAAACAACTCTTAGGATATTCTATTTCCAGATGTACCAGAGGAATAATCTGAAGAAGAAAATGGACAATCAACTCTTTCTTGTGCTGGCCTATCAGTGAAACAAGATGCTTTACTGTGGTGATTCATGCTTAACTGTGCAATGGTAAGTAAATTGCCAAATTTGGGTGAGCTAGACATTTCCCCCAGGGTGAAATGACAAAGACCTCAGTGGTTTCTTCCTCCTCTCAACAACAGGAACTCATTGAAATTGTGCATTAAAGTCAAATGAGCACCTTTCATGATGTGAATTCCGTGTGATCCTAAGAACTGGAAGCAGCTGAATACTGATAATCATAAAATTATCATAACTATGATTTCTATTAAATCTTAGTCAAATTATGAAAAAATAATATATACCAGTTTTATAATTTAGAATCTAAGTATAAAACAAATATAGTTTCTGAATATACCCTATTCACTTTATCTTCATAAATTTAGAGAACTTTTAGCTTTGACATTATTAACACATACAATCTAAATGAATAAATAACATATTTAATTATAATATGTTACACTTAAACAATTAGAGAGGATTCTTGTGTAAAAGCATGTATGATGAATACCATTGTCATTTTTAAAATTTATATATTCTATAATAATTGTGTGGTGATTAGTAAAGAGTTAGAATATGACTACTTCAATTATTTACTTATCCTAAACTTTTAAAATCATAAAGTCAGAATTACTGTTACTGATGACAAGGCCCTGTAATTCTTTGTCTTTTTACCATTTTTTACCTAATTTTTATTATGGAACTAAACAAAGTAGTCTAAAGCATAATTCTAAAACAATGTATAAAATGTTTTCTTACCACTTAGCCATTTGGAATTGTGTTGATCAGTTCTGACTGCATTCCTTTTAGTTAAACTTCGAAAAATAGCAGCATCTGTCCCCATGAAATCTATATACATTCCAGAGAAAAGTTCTTCATCTATGTAAAAGAAATTATCAACACAATGTAAATGTTTTTAAGGCTATTTTATTTTTTTTTTATTTTTATTTTTTAAAATATATTTTATTGATTTTTTACAGAGAGGAAGGGAGAGAGATAGATAGTTAGAAACATCGATGAGAGAGAAACATCGATCGGCTGCCTCCTGCACATCTCCCACTGGGGATGTGCCCGCAACCCAGGTACATGCCCTTGACCAGAATCGAACCTGGGACCCTTCAGTCCTCCAGCCGACGCTCTGTCCACTGAGCCAAACCGGTTTCGGCTTTAAGGCTATTTTAAATATCAAGGAGAACTTGCTTAATTAGATTAGTACACATATTACAGTGTTTATAATTGTTAATTGGTTTACATTATCCACCAAATAAAAAGTTGGTAAAGTTTAATCTGGTCTCATTATTGACTGTATGGTTACCAAAATGACTTTATTCTATGAAGAAATAAAAATTCCTCTGCCTGTACTTAATAATACGAAATGCCTATGTTTATAGTGTGTATCAGAAATGGCAGAAATAATATATGTAACATATTATAAAAGATAACAGAATGGCTTAATTATTACTGTGTTTTAATAAAAATACTGTAAGAGTCAGAAAACTTGCTTTGTATATTTTGGGCAGTAATTTTTAGCAAACTGGGAATTAGGACTAAGTCATTTAGCTCCCTGAATCACAATCTTCTCATCTGTAAAATATGGGAACTGAATTATGGATTTCAAAAGTCCTCACCACATATTAAAAATTCTATGATTATACTAAAGGGATTGAGATCAATAGTTTTATTATTATTAATGACATGGAGGCAACATTAAAATTTGTCAAAATACTATTAATGATGTAATAATGTCATCATTAAAAGTATACACTTCAATTTTCAGTGCTAGAAGGTTGCTACAATATAATCAAAGTTCTCTATTATCATTTGCAAAACAATATATTAAAATTATGGTAAAAATATAGTATTATGTTACTAAACTACATATGGCTTAACATAAGCCATGAGAAATAGAATGCAGAGACAAGAAAGTAAAGATATTTTTAAATTAAATTATCATTATTGATAGCAAAAACACATTTTAATCTGTATATACATAACATTTAACATTTAGCTTATCCATATTAATTTTCATGCTAGGAAAGAGAGTAGATATTGAATGGGTATGTGTGACACTTGAGAATAAAACAGTAGCTAAATATCTATTTAAAAGAGGATAAAATTTATCAGGTCTGTCCTACTAAACCGCCATGCAGCTGTGCTCTTCGACTACTGTTCTAGAATTACTTCCTGGCTACTTTCAGATTGTGGTCATTTTGGCAGAACTGGAACATTTTGAAGCACTCTAAGCTCACTGTTTAGTAACAAGCACTACCAACTGGCCCAGGATAGAATGAAGAATGGAATGTTTTTAATATGTGCTCACTAGGTCATGAAACGGACCCCTACAAGTTAGCAATTGGGCATGGCAGGTATTGTGTCTCCAATGTGGCTTCCTCACAGGGGTCTAAAGCCCATGGAAATTGATTATAGAGACAGAACAAAAAAGTGCAGGAAAGTATTTCGTTTAGTTTCTTTAAAATTATGTGGGCATTTATGAAGCATCTACACAAGTATTCTGTTGATACAATGGTTGTTAAATTGAAATAACTTCGCAATTAATCATTTCATACTGTAGCTATACCCAGTTACCCTCCAAACAGGGGGTTATAAAACTCTGTTATGTAATATACTGACTAGCACAGCTATCAATTATCATCTCTGTATCCAGGAAGGAAAAAATAAAGGATACTGGAGGATGGTGTATGGTGCAGAGGGCTGAGTCTAATCCTATTACACACCACTTTATTAGTTATGTCTTAAACGTTACGGAAGCTTGCACGTCTGACTGACTTCATTTCCTGTCTTAAATTTTTAATAATTAGGAATAACAAAGTGCCTGCTTTATTTTGTATAAGAAATATTTAATTAATGTCACTTTGGGACGCATTTTGAGAATAGGGTATTTCATGAAGGATTTCTTTGTAGGACTTATGCAAAGATAAACTTGTGCCTGTTCTCTTTAATCCAAAAATATTTTGCTTTCCAACTGCACTTCCACTACCAGAAAAACCATATGAGGTTTTTGATCGGCTCCTTAAAAGATACCACCTGACTTCTTTGTTGTGCTACAACAATAACTAAAAATAGCAAAAGAACACTAAACATACATATCTGGTTGGATGTCACAACCACATTGTGAAATTTGGAATTAAAATTCACAATGTTTCTTGGAATATTTTAACAAATATGTGTTATTTAGTGGATTGCAGTTGAACAGAAATGATCAAACACTGTATAGCAAAATGAGAGGACTATACAGATCTATTATACAATATTGGAGATGACAATGGAGATGATTTTAAAGAAATAATCAATAGAACAAATAAAATTATAAATATAAGCTTATCAAGCTTCATGCTCATTTTGGTTTCAGGTTTTCTCTCCTAAAATATATTTTTGTCGATTTCAGAGAGGAAGGGAGAGGAAGAGAGAGATAGAAACATCAATGCTGAGAGAGTTTCATTCATCGGCTGCCTTCTGCACATCCCACACTGGGAATTGAGCCCACAACCTGGGCATGTGCCCTGACCAGGAATTGAATGAACTGTGACCTCCTGGTTCATAGGTCAACGCTCAACCACCAAGCCCCATCAGCTGGGCTGATTTCAGTTTAATGAATTTCAGTGATAGTATAAATTATAATGTTGATCAAAGTATTAAAAGGCAATATAGAAACATCAGCATAAGAATTGAAGTCTCAGGTCCTTAAAAAATGAAGGCCACTTAAATTCAATTTTGTAAAAATATCCAAGTCTCTAAAGGCAAAACTATTAAATGGCTTATCATATTTTAACACTAAGATTCATAATGCCTTGTTCTAACCCTTACTGTTCTAAACTATATTTGATGAGATAAAACTATAGTATTAGTGCTAATCTTTGAAATTTATTTCCATAGCATAGCATTTAGCTTGAAATGAATGAAAACTCTATATATTTAACTAGTATATATATATACATGTAATATTAGAATTTCTAAAGTATTTAAAAAAATACTCTTTTTGAGACACTGCTATGAAATATTTAGAAACTTATCTGAAAAGTCCTTGCATCAGACATATTTGGATATCTTGTGGTTTCAAAGGTTTCTAATTTTTTTTGTCGTAATTATATACTTTCATTTCCTCTTTGTCCAATTTGAATGACCATATGGAAATAATTCACTGGATAACTTCCAAGGCCACATTTTAGTCAGTGCTAGATGTACCTGTCTTAATTTAGTTTCCAGATATGAGCACGATGTGTTGCCTCTTTAAATGAATCAAAGTAAAGCACTGTGACCACAATAATTATTTTTCCACCTGTTCTCTTGTCAAATGGTATAATTTTACTATCGGCAACACATACAGGAAGCAAACAGGGGAGAGCATCTACTGTATAGTTGGCACTGGGATCCCCGATTTGTCCTTACAGTCAATTCATGTTAAACCAGATGTATTCTAGAAGTGTCGTAACGGACCAGAAGGGAATGTCTTTTAAGTGAGTTATAGAAAGGCATTCGATGATTGAGACTCAAAGACATTGATTTGTCAACTTACGTAGCAGCAAGCAATTGGGCCTGCTACTTAACTGATATATTTTATGGAAAATGAGAAAATAGAAAAGCGATTTTACCACCAGCTCTTGTTTTAGTATAGCAACTTCTAGACAATCCATAAGAATATATTTGGCTAACCCATGTACTTTGTTAGTCTTTCATCAGAGAGTAAGATCATTTTTTTTTAATATATTTTATTGATTTTTTACAGAGAGGAAGGGAGAGAGATAGAGAGTGAGAAACATCGATGAGAGAGAAACATCGATCAGCCGCCTCCCGCACACCCCCCACTGGGGATGTGCCCGCAACCCAGGCACATGCCCCTGACCGGAATCGAACCCGGGACCCTTGAGTCCGCAGGCCGACGCTCTATCCACTGAGCCAAACCGGTTTTGGCGAGTAAGATCATTTTTAATAATTTGTAAAAGATTACTAAAACATGAGGAAAGTGGGTATATTTAATACTAGAAAAATAACTATAGGAAACATTGAAAATTACTTTATTATATATATACACACACACACACACACACACACACACACACACACATGCATGCTTTTTGTAAATGGCTGACTTGCTCTGGGAATGAGAGCATTGTTGTGTTCAATGAAAAAATGCATGCTTATTATGAATATTCCTGAACATGAGAAACTAAAATTTCTATTTCTCAGCATAAACCTTTCTTCCTATTATTTTACTCATGTACTATCATCCATACAATTATCAAAAATGGGCATACCATGTCATGAATTATTTTTCCTTAATTTCCTTATTTTCTATTTCTCACTGCCTCCTTTATTTTTCACTTACTGATCATAACAGATACTGTGTTCACATTGGGGTTGAAAGAGCAGCGTCCTTTTCCAGATTCACACTTGGAGTCAATCATGAAAACTTGGTCCTTTATTGTAGATAAAAATTAAAAGACAGTAATAATAAATAACATCATATTTAGTTAACCAATCGGCCTTTAGTAAAACAAAGCATCACCATAAATAATAAGCTTTATACTTGGTTGCTTATGCCTGCCCAATTCACTGTATTAAGAATTTCTTGGCCTGTAGACAAATGCATCTATGAATTACAAACTAACCTTAGTAGATCAAATTCTCATTCTATTACACTCCCCATAAAGCTGATCCAACAAGTTTTCCTCAAAGCAACATTATTAAAACCCACTTAAAATTACAATAAGACTGTTTTAAAAATAAAATTTGTTACCACTTAATTTTGTTATGTACATCATTATACTAAGTTAAGCAATAATTCATAATTTAGATTAAAATGTTTTATTATTTATTTATTTAACAAAATATATTGACCATCTACTCTGTGCCAGGCACTGACAATACATTAGGGATACAGTAAACAAAATAGACAAACATCTTTGCCTTCAAGTAATTTATGATATACTGAGGGAGAATATAAATAGGTATATATAAAATATAAAGAGAATAAATATATAAAATATAAGTCTGTTAGATGATGCGCAGTGCTTAGGAAAAACATTAAGCAAGGAATGGGACTAGGGCAGCCCAGGGACTATGAGCAAAGATTTCAGTAATGACCAGTGCAGCTTCAGTGAGAGAGAACATCTTGTTGGTATACTTATTTTTTTTTCTAGGTAAGTTAGTAAAAGTGACTACTAAAATTCTAAGAAAAAGATGATCACTTTTGTTGGTTGCATTAGATGATGGCAGTCCTTGGGTGTCAAGCTAAGGTTTTTCAAAATTATCCTGATAAAATTGCATTCCATATTTACTCTAGATATGTATATAAATACAATATTATGATGAAACCCTTTAACTTGACTACTAAGGAAAGTATTAAAAAGATTAAAATTCATAACCCGTTCCATACTTACGTTGACTTTTAAATGTTCACATATTAATTAATGGACATGCTTCCCCTTTTAAATAGATTTTCTTGAAACGAGACTATAGTAGTTCATATTTGATAAAGTGATTAAAATTCATTCCATGCTGGCTTTCCATATGAGATTTGTTTTTTTTACTGACTTTTGCATTTAAGCCTTGAAGTGCATAGTGGGCAATCTCTACATGGGAAATGATTTCATTTGAAACGTGTGCTCTGAAAAGTGCTGTGCTATTGGTGGCCTCTGCAGTGACTGTGCAGTCTTCAGTAAAGGGTCTGACAGATTGCAGACGTCTAGGGCAGCAGTTTATTTATCAGTTGATCACAGGCATGTGGTTCTAATGACAAGCTCAATGCAGCCAACTGTACTCTTCCAAGAAGCATAGCTTTACATTTAAGAACTTTAATATTTCATCTTGTTTTGAACCACTTGGAGGTGCATCAACATGGGTTCAAGTGATAATTACTCAGTTATTTTTAAGTGATTTTTTTATTCAACAAAAGATATATATATATATGTATAAGTTACATACATGAAAAAATTAATAATAAAGGAATACAGAGAGATTATTCAATTATATTCATACTAAAGCAGATTAACCTTTGTTAAAGAAAAACGAACCTAAGATATATCAGTAGCAACATTTAATCTTTTTTTTACAATTCTAATCTGTAAAATTGAATTTAGACATTAAGAACTAGACTTTCAAGGCTTAAGATGCATAATAAAATCAAAGCAAGATATTATGAAATAATTCAGTTTTTAAAATATTTATATTAAATACGACATGTTTGACTAAAAGAATCCGGAAAATCTCTTTGGGCCTAATGAATTGTTTCCTTAGTCAATAATTGTAAACTGGGATAAACACAGTCTTAAATATCACAGGTGAAGTTGAACCAGCCACATATTTGACTGTACATTAGCTGTATATTTACTCTCAGAAGATACTTTTATTCAAATACCCCCAAATCATTTTAACCAATGTAAGAATAAGGCTAGAAAACCCTCATAGACCAATGTTACTCTAAATGAAAGTATGATTTATTAATTATATAAAGTTCTCTTCGGCTGGCACTTACAGGTGTGTAGCTCATAAAAGTTTATTAAAATTGAAACGTAAATAAGAAATTGTTTAAAATAGATTTGAGAAAGTGAATGTGTAGTATAATATTTCTATAATTTGCATTAATATTATCAATACCTTACATTCTAAATAATTATGAAGCCACACCATTTTTCCCTTTATCTTTTGCAGCATTTCCATTCAGATTATATATATGTGTGTGTGTGTGTGTGTGTGTGTGTGTGTGCGTATGTGTGTGTGTGTGTGTGTGTGTGTGTGTATATATATATATATATATATATATATATATATATATATATATATATAAAATGTTTAAAGGCAAAAGGCTGTATTTTAAGTAACCTGATGGCCAGAAACAAAATGTAATATATTTTGTGTTTACAGGGCTTGAAACTTTTTTATGACTATTGATATTTCCAAGATTTAACTCTAAAATACAGTTTTAAGCAACCTTTGACACTAAGCAGAACAAAGAATGAAAAAAATGTTACACTCACCTCTGATCTCCTCCCTCTGTTCAAATAAGTACAGACTGGGCTGAAAGCACCACTCCCACAAACATACAGATGAGTGCGGTTGAACGCCTGAATTACACGGACGAAGTTCCCACAGCCATGCTAAAAGAATAGGTAAAGAAGCGCTTAGTAACGATTTTATTGCTATTACTAAGTGTCACTGTGAACCTTTGCTTTGAATTTTTCTTTCTGCTCTCACATGTTCGGAGATAGTAAGAGAACCACATTGTTTACACCACTGCTTTCTTTTGGGTGGACGGTAGGCCAACTTAGATAATGAGTAAAATGAATATCTCTCCCATATTTCTCTTCTGTAAGTTTTTATTTTCTGAAACTTAATGAACTTAATTTTTACCCAAGATGAAGTACAGCAAATTGTTTCCTCAAATTTTCTTCAAAACATACACACACATACACATTTTGTATAAACATGAATTAAGTGAGATGTGCTTATACAAGGCCTGTACTACCTTTAGTACACAATGGCAAGCACTATTGGCCTTTACAATTGGTGAATAAAACAAACCTTGAAGGAAATGCCAAACTTATTGCTTTCTATGAAAAATGATGTAATTTCTCTCTCTCTGCCCGTAACCCCCTAAAATACTTTCTTCAAAATCTCCTTTCTCACCTGTTCCCAGTCCAATCATTAGATATTGTCATTTATTCTCTCAACAACAAAAAATCATTATAGTAATTATAAGCTGACTATGGCCTTGCAGAAGTACATAAATATGGCCATCACCAAATGCATATCTGTCACTGAAGGGACCATTGCATGCTCTGTGTTTACCAGGCTCACTATCCTTTGCTGACTACAAATTAATCCAGCCTGAGATTACATGTTGTTCCCTTCACAGTTACTTTTTCTCTCAAAGAACATTATTAAAAATAATGTTACAAATCAAAGATAAGTATTTTAATAAAAATATATGAAAAGATATCAGTGGTTTTCCCAGGGGTGGTCAGAGACCATAGGTGTTCTTTTATACTCTCTTCTAGGTATCATGTATTTTATTTATTGTTTATAATGTACATGCATTACTTACATTATTAGTAAAGTAAAAACACAAATTTTACTAAAAAGGAAGTTACATTTAAAGTCAATGTTATTTTATATTTTCCATCATTTCCTCCTTTCATATTCATTATTACTTGATAGTAAGTATATGCTTATTTTTATATGTAGTAATTTTCTACACATGTTTCTATTATAGGTTTTTATTATCAAATAATCAATCATTAACTTTTGCTGTCAAAAAATTAAACCTTACAGACCAGACTACACAGTTTATTTTTATTTTAAGACATTAAAGATTTTTGTTAAATATATAATGTCACAGTATCTTGACACCTGTTTATAGAGGTTCCTGGAAATTGACTATATAACTGCAGATGATAATGTGTTTCTCTGGAGAAAAAGCATAGACGATGTATGGTGTGTATATAATATGTCTATGTTAAGGGTATCTGTGAGCAATGAGACTGGTGTTTATTTTTTTCACATTCAAAGTTAGTCATTCTGGGGTTCTGTATATACTATTTTTCCATAAGACATGAACTCAACCCAACTCTATTAATAATAGGTTATGTCTGTCTCCTCTGGAGTTTTGTAGGCCATTTACCATCATGAATTACTGGTATTAGTTAAAAGTCACTAATATTTCTTTTATATTTCAAATACAGTTTATACTTATGTATTTTATATCTACATATTAGATACATTGATATGTTTATTATGGCTAGTAATTGTTGAGAATTTATTATGTGGCAGACAGTGGAATAATCATTTCATATATTTAGCCTCTTTTAATTCCCAGGAGGTTTGATTTTTTTTTACCTTTATATCTCACATTTATTTAGCATATTATATGCTACTTAGGCACTTAACATTCACTTTTTTTTTTTTTTTTTACAACTCAACCGCTTTTAGAAAAATAAAGCTTAGAACATTTTTAGTTAACTTGCCTGAGGATATATAGCTAGAAAAGGGTAAAGCAGATTTTCAAACACAGATGTGTCTAACACATCTTGTATTTTTAACCTCTTCAAAATCTGTAATTGTGGCCGAAACCGGTTTGGCTCAGTGGATAGAGCGTCGGCCTGCGGACTGAAAGGTCCCAGGTTCGATTCCGGTCAAGGGCATGTACCTGGGTTGCGAGCACATCCCCAGTAGGAGATGTGCAGGAGGCAGCTGATCGATGTTTCTCTCTCATCGATGTTTCTAACTATCTCTCTCCCTTCCTCTCTGTAAAAAATCAATAAAATATATATATAAAAAAATCTGTAATTGTGTTTGGAATCTATAGTTATTAGAAGGGAGTTTTTATAACTGTTACTAATGTTTAAAGAGCTCTTCCTTTGATGTTGTTTTTAATCTTTACAACAGTGTTCCAATTAAAGTATTAGTGCCATTCTGGTGATAAGGAAATTGAATTTCAAAGAGGTTAAATGAAATGCTCTAGGTTTAATAAGTAACTGAGCTGGCTCTTGAAACACCCCGCCCTCCACCACCCAGCTTTTCTATAGGAAGGGGTTGACTAACCATGAGACAGATTCCCATGCTCTCTGGTGATGCTCAGTGTACCCCTCCAACCTTCCCTTATAGAGAAAAACCCCAAAGGAAAAACAAAGCAGTTGAGTTAATTATTGAAAATCATGTTCTAGGTCATTTCCATTTCCATTGTTCTGCCTTAGTTTCTGAATACATTATTTCTGACCTAGACCATTTCATTCAGCAAATATTTATACACTCAGTGCAAGCACTGTACATAGTACTGACAACACTGGAAATAATAGATTCAATTCCTACTTTCAGGCTATAGTAGATGCTGTAATAGGGTTATATTTTTCAAAAGGTGCTATAGAAGGAAAGAAGAGAATGAGTAATGCGGAACTTGGTGTAAAGGTTTGAAGGGGGTGTCATTGCAGAATGAGCTAGAGATTTTGACAGGCAAAAGCATAAGGAAAGAATGTTCCAACAAAAACAGCAGAGCATGAATTAAAAACAGGCAAGGCAGTGCAGGACTTACTTGGTGAATAGTGCCTAGAAGAGACAGAGGATTATTGTCTGATGAAACAAGACAATTAGAGTTCGTCTGTCATCATGCCATAGTGTGTGTGTGTGTGTGTGTGTGTGTGTGTATTTTTTTTTTTTAGAGAGGAAGGGAGAGGGAGAACGAGAGAAACATCAATAATGAGAGAGAATCATTTATCAGCTGCCACCTGTATGCCCTACACTGGAGACCAAGCCCTCAACCCAAGCATGTGCCCTGACTGGGAATCAAACCATGATCTCCTGGTTCATAGGTTGACAACCACTGAGCCATGCCAGCCGGGCATCATGCCATAATCTTTAGCTGGCATAGAGAGTGGATTTAGGTATACAAATCTCAGAGCTATTAAAAAATCTGTCTTTATCTTTAACTAGCCGTTTGAACTTGAGGCATTTATGTAATTTCTCTGTGCTTCAATCTTTTTATCTACGAATGGTGATGATAGTATTTGTTGTGAGCAATATAGAGGCAAAAGTACGTTTACAGTTGTTTATATGGAAGATATACAATAGTTAATTAAATAGTAATACAAGAATAAACTGTTTTTCTTGATCACAACTGTAAACCTACTTTTGCCACACCCTGTATAATAATAAAGCACTTGGAATAGTTTCTGGCAAATAAATATACACTGGGTTAAATATTAGACTCTTTCACACACATTTTCAATTCCAACTGCCAATACAAACCTGTGAAGTAAATAGGGCATTTGTCCTGCACAGAGCTTAGTATATAGGCCCTCACCATAACAGGCATCCATGAAAGGTTTGGGGAACAAGACTTCAGTGAAATTCAGCACCATGCATGCTTTCTTTTAATTGTTTAACTCTATTTTGAAAGTATTTTCTGGTAAAATGTTAAATGTAAAATGAAAAATCAGGCTGCTAACATTATGCAGAATATAATGTCCTTTTATTCATATACTATATATGTCATGTAATAAAATGCTGAAATAGCCCTAGCTGGTGTGGCTCAGTGGATAGATAGAGCATCGGCCTGCAGACTGAGGGGTCCTGGATTCGATTCCTGTCAAGGGCACATGCCCAGGTTGTGGGCTCGATCCCCAGTCGGGGACGTTGCAGGAGGCAGCTGATTAATGATTCTCTCTCATCATTGATGTTTCTATCTCTTTCTCCCTCTCCCTTTCTCTCTGAAATCAATAAAAATATATTAATAAAATGCTGAAATAATATACCCCAATTTTTAATTTATTATATTTGGATTGTGAATTTATTTTATTTACTTAACAGAAATATAGTATTTACTGTGTGCTATATGCTTTTCTTGGTCTTTAAAAATTTCTATATTAAACATATATTAGTTGCATAATTTAAAAACAGACGTTTCTAAAATATATTCTGGAGCACAGATGAATAGGGTATTAAAAATATTGACTTTTCATGGTCCATACTATGCAATGGGGGTGGGGGGTGGAGAGGGACTATTATTTTTCCGCCTACAATTCTTTTTCCTTTGGTCTGATTAAAGCATGCTTCTCTGTAGGTATCTTGGATGTATGAAATGAGATGGATTTGTCAAACATTCTCTTATTTAGCACAGACAGAGCATTTATTTGAAAGCATTAGTTTGATTGTTATTTCCCAGGACCCAACAATTTTGGCAGTACTAGAACAGAACCCTCCACCAGTTACTTACATTGTGTATACTAATTGGCTCTAAAGCAGAATTTAAAGATATCTATGAATGACATTACAGTATGACAAAACTATGGGAAAACATAAGCATGTATTGAAGATTTTATCTAATGACTTTTAATTACAAGAGAGCAAATAACAGAGCCTTTTAATTTTGCCAAAGAGAGAAAGAAATTTAATGACTTAGCTAAGATTCTTTAGAAAATCAACAGCAAGTTTTGGAACAAGAACGTGCAAAGGTATCCAAATCCTACATATCCTGTATAAATGGGAAATGAAAATCTTTTTGAACAAAGGACAATTAAATCCAGTAATTATAGCCACAGGATATTACTGTGGCAAAAAGCAACTCATGATCAGATACGCATTAGTGGAAAAAATCTCTACATTAGAGAATGAAAGAAAATAGTTTCATTCATGCATAATTATTGACATAATAGCTTCAGGGGACAAAAAAGTATACCCCACAAAAGTATACTTCATTCTACTCACTCCCTAGAAGGCTATTATAATATTCTTACAAATGTTTTTCCACATTTTCCTGGATTTTCCCCTCCAGAAAGTGGTCTACAAAATCCTATGGGTAGCAAAAATGCTCCTGCAAGCTCCTTCTGCCCACTTTTAAATTTCTCTTATAAGGAGAGTTATGAAACTGAAAAAGTGAGACCATTGCTGAGCCACTCCTGGTGAGCTCTTGCCAAGAACACCTTCCAGTTGAGACCTGGAGATTCAACATTCCAGGTTCTTCCACGGACCTGCACTGAGCCTGACCTTTTTAGAACCTGAAACCTGGGACTATTAAGAGTCAATGAAAACAAAAAGCTCATTTCCACACTTTCTTCTTCCACAAGGGTTATTTAGTCTTTCTTTCTTTGAACCAATCTGGTGAATCTCTGAAGTACTTATTACCAAGGCTCAGCGCACAGCCTTCTCTCCTAAAATCAGCATTTCTTACCTCTATACTTATAATGAATGCTACATGTACAATGGTAAGTGTTTAGTCAACATTAAGTCAAGACTGTTATTTGACCTTAGACCTGATTGTGTGTGTGTGTGTGTGTATACATTTATTAGTTTGCTACCCAATCACCATATTTCAATCTCACTCCTGAATCAGGATGTATTTCCATGCTTATTAAATTAACTAGAGGGGAGGGAGGGGTCGCTCAGCCCGGCCTCTGCCCTCTCGCAGCCTGGGACCCCTCGAGGGATGTCCGCTTGCTGGCTTAGGCCCGCTCCCCATGAAGGCCAAAGCCGGCAGGTGGACATCCCTCGAGGGGTCATTGGCACTCCCGACACCACTGCTGCATTCACCAGCCTTGAGCCCAGCTTCTGGCTGAGTGGCCTCTCCCTGTGGGCACTCCCTCCGGCATTGAGCGTCTGCCCCCTGGTGGTCAGTGCCCGTCATAGCAACCGGTCGTTCCACCATTCAGTCAATTTGCATATTAGTCTTTTATTATATAGGATGTTGACTTCTCCAACAAGGTAATAAAGTTTATGAGAGTCAAATATGTCTATTTTAGCAGAAAATTGTATCTCTAGTAATTAACATTATGCCAGATGCATAGTAGGTATCAGTATTTGTTGAAAAATGATTGAAAGAATGAATTATCTAAAGAAACTTCTGCCCTGGCTGGGTGGCTCAGTTGGTTGGAGGATTGTCCCATACATCAAAAGGTTGCAGGTCTGATTCCAAGTCAGGGCACATACCTAGATTGCACTTTCAATCCCAGGTGGGGGTGCAAACAGGAGGAAACTGATTGAAGTTTACCTCTCACATCAATGTCTCTCCCTTTCTCTCTGTCTCTCTCTCGCTCTCCCTCTCTCTCTAAAATCAATAAACATGTCCTTTGGTGATGATTAAAAAAAAAGAAACTTCTTTTTGTTAAATATCTTTTAAAAAATGTATATCGGAGAGAGGAAAGAAGAGGAAGAGAGAGAAACATCAATAATGTCAGAGAATCATGGATTAGCTACCTCCTGCATGCTCCCTACTGGGGATAGAGTCCTCAACCTGGGCATGTGCCCTGACCAGGAATTGAACCCTGACCTCCTGGGTCATAGGTCAACATTCAACCACTGAGCCACACCAGCCGGGCTACCAAGTTATTAATATAAGAGTAAGTAATTTTGATACTTGGATCTATTATGTTATTTTTTTCATGATTTGAAATAAGAAGGTGAAATGACATATATGCTTCATTATAAACATTAAATGTCTTGTGCACATTAGATATTTTTTCCTGTATTTATTTTATAATATTCAAGAATAATCTGTCAGTCCTGGCCAGTGTGTCTCAGTGGGAGGGTCATGGGCTCGACCCGAATAAATGTGTTTCTCTCAAATTGATGTTCTCTTTCTCTCCCTCCCTCTCTCCCTCCCTTCCACTGTCTCTAAAACTCAGTGGAAAATATATCCTGGGGTGAGCATTAATTTAAAAAAAAAAGCATAATCTGTCAGTTTCAGCAAGTCGTTAGCAGCAATCAATATAGATTTATTCCTTGACTCTGGACTCTTACCTAAAGTAACATAATTTTTACAATTGTTTCTAGTGCCTCACATTGACAATCTATTGATATTTATACCTGTCTCAATTTTGTTTCTATGGTTATTTTTAATTAACAAAGATACCAGTCATCACTGGTGATTTACGCCTCTGGAATGTGCTGGCTAACCACAACCCTTCTGCTGAGAATCTTTCTTAGGAAAAGCCCACATGGTATCTGGGAGTTGGCCCAGAGTCTTGCATTATCATTATTCCAGCAGCCTCCTGAGAATTCCACAGGTTGGATCCACTTGGAACAGGGGTTATTACTGAAATTCATCATGAAAAGTGTCAGGGTGCAATAATGAAAGCAAGTCAAGAAAGTTTTACCCAGTCAGGAATTCCTAAATTACAATGTTTAAGAGTTCCAATCTTTCTGTATTTACATTTTTTACCATGTGTCCAGCAGAGGATTTAAAACACCAACACCCGTTGTCTCACTCCTGGCTGCACTCAAGATACATGGATTTGAAGACCAAATATTTAAGGTTTGGGTTTTTTTTTAAAGCACTCACTGTGGGATCTTTGCCAGCCATTTTGCACTCTTCGACTTTGATTGTAGATGCTGGCCAGAAAACCTGCTCAGAAAGGAAAATATAGATTGCATAAATCTCACTGTACATAGGACAGCTCAGTGCTTGTCATTTACTTTATGTTAACAGATTTCTTTAAGATGTTTCGTATTTCTACAAAATTCTATCTTCTTTCATTTTATGAACTTAAATGAATATGGATTTTAAAATTTTATTGTAAGACTTATGTTTTTATTCTTTCCATCAATCTTTCTTTTAACAAAAGCACTTTAATATATGCCCCCTTACTAATGCTATTATATTAAAATGAGGTCATTATTAATGTGCACAATATAAGGTATATTTCCTCTTTTTTATTTATAGTACACTTTTTCCAACTGCTTATATCACAATGAATTTACATTTATATTCCAATCTCAGTTTAATATTATTTTGAGAAAACTACAAGCTAGGCTGGTGGATTTAATTAAAATGGGCACCTAGGCACATCCACAGTTAAAATAGCTTGGATAGAATCCAAAAGGCTCCTGCTCTGAAATACTGTCCTAGCATTCCAAGTCGTTGTTGCCTTGGCTCAGGTCTGGTAGTGAAGATTATTTCTTTGTCTGCTGTCCATTTTTAAAATAACAAGTCCAGAAATCTCCTTTCTGTAATAAATTTATAATGAATCTACTTTTATTTCTTTACTCCAGTGAGTCTCAATTTATTTCCTTGTTGTGAAACAGAATGACAAATATGGGCTACATTTGTTCAAAGAATAGTGCATTTAATAATTGTGTTCCTTCCAAGGACTTGCTGAATTACAAATAAATGACAAGGTAGGTCTTCCTTTAATCCGACTATTTTTTTTCATGCTATATTCTAGTCTTTTCTTTTTCTCGTTCTATATATGTATAAACAGGAAGTGTTTTCTCAGTTAGCTTCAGATTTTAGATTGTTTAAATTATAAAACTAGACAAAGAAAATTGAATTGATTATATATTTTCAGTCCATTAAATAAATACGAACTTCCAATTACATATAAACATGCAACTGGTATTTTCTATTGTTCTAATGAAATACATAATTTATTATTGTATTTTAAGTCTTTAAAGAAAAAAGCAAGTAAGAGGTCAACATTGCCCTCATGAAAGTAATACACTTACACTCAAAGCTTCTTGACTTATATTGTTAATATTCAAGGAAAGAATGTGATCTTTGCTGCCCACATATATCCGGTCCTGATCTTCATCCATTAATAATATCCTATAGTCTAAAGGGTGGTGAGACAGGCTGAAGTACTCAGAGGTCTTGGTTTCTCGAAGCTCTGAAATAGTGAACAACACAGTGAAAATAGACATGGTTCAATGGTCTATTATTTTAATAAAAATTATCTTACAGAAATATTTACCAAAACCGTAACGATAAATTTTCCTCCTACAATAATAAATTAATTATAAATTAGAGTTATTTCAGTGGATATTTTTATTCATCGTCTCTGAAATAAAACATAAATCAATAAATGCAATTTTAAAGTTTATGGTGATGACATTGATTACAAAATTATTCACATTTTGTAAGAATCTCAATTGAGTTTTATTTCTGGATGTCATATCAACTAGTTCAAACAGATTAGCCAAAAATATATAGTAAGTTAGCAGATTGAAACACAAATAAAAGCTCAACAAACAAACAAACAATGGCAGTGTGAATGTCTTCCTAGTTTGTCTTAATGTTTTATTGTTGGACTCAGTATATCATTTTAGAATTATTTCCTGCTCTAAATATTTACCTTACTCCCTCAACATAATTCTAACCAGTTCAATATGTTTTTTTGATAAATTACTTAAAAAGACACCTATTTTTCCCCCAGTATACTCCATAAAAAGTTAATGTCATTTAAAAGTTCATGTATCCTATCTAATAAAAGAGAAACATGGTAATTAGTGTATGTCCGCTACCCTTCCCATTGGCTAATCAGGGCAATATGCAAATTAACTGTCAGCCAAGATGGCGGCCGGCAGCCAGGCAGCTTGAAGCTAACATGAGGCTTGCTTGCTTCAGTGACAGAGGAAACCAACGTTCCCCGCCTGCCTTGCCGGCCTCTGAGCTTGCAGTTTGAAAAACTGTTACAAATATAGAAGCTAAACAAAACCCCAGAAACCTGCTTTCAGCCCGCCAGGATCTCAGAGCTGGAGTTGATACACTGTTTCGATTATAGAACCCAAACAAACCAGATACCTGCTTTCAGCAACAGAGGCCTCAGAGCTGGAGCCAGAGCTAAAGCTGGCCCAGGATAAAAAAGAAAAAGAAAAAAAGGAGTGGTTGGGAGCTTCAGTCACCCGCCAGCCTGAAAACAGCCCTCAGCCCCTCACCCAGACTGGCCAGGCACCCCAGTGGGGACCCCCACCTTGAAGGGTGTGTGACCAGCTGCAAACAGCCATTATCCCCTCACCCAGGCTGGCCAGGCACCCAAGTGGGGACCCCCACCCTGAAGGGTGTGTGACCAGCTGCAAACAGCCATCATCCCCTCACCCAGGCTGGCCAGGCACCCCAGTGGGGACCCCCACCCTGATCCAGGGCACCATTCAGGGCAAACCAGCTGGCCCCCACCCGTGCACCAGGCCTCTATCCTATATAGTAAAAGGGTAATATGCCTCCCAGCACCGGGATCAGCGGAGCCGAGAGCCTCCCGGCACCGGATCAGCGCCCAAACCCCGATCGCCCTGCGGCTCTGTGTGTGACAGGGGGCGGGGCCACAACCTCCCTATCCGCCCTGCTCTGTTCGTGACAGGGGAAGGTGCCCCAACCCCCTGATCAGCCCTGCTCTGTGCCTGATAGGGGGGAGCTCCCCAACCCCCTGATCGCCCTGCGGCTCTGTGTGTGACAGGGTGCGGCACCCCAACCCCCTGATCGGCCCTGCTCTGTGTGTGACAGGGTGCGGTGCCCCAACACCCCTTCCCCCCAAGCCCCCCACAGGCCCTGCTGTGTGACGGGGAAGAGCCATAACCTCCCCATCGGCCTTGCCCTGAGTGTGAGAGTGGTGGCGCCCCAACCCCCTGATCGGCCGAGCTCTGTGGGTGATAGAGGGCGGCGCCCCAACCCCCTCTCCACGGGCCCTGCTCTGTGTGTGATGGGGTAAAGCCATAACCTCCCCATCAGCCCTGCCCTGAGTGTGACAGTGGTGGTGCCCCAACCCCCTGATCTGCCCTGCTCTGTGGGTGCTAGAGGGTGGCGCCCCAACCCCCTGATCTGCCCTGCTCTGTGGGTGCTAGAGGGCGGCGCCCCAACCCCCTGATCTGCCCTGCTCTGTGCGTGACAGGGGGAAGCTCCCCAACCCCCTGATCGACCCTGCTCTGTGCGTGACAGGGTACGGAGCCCCAACCCCCCTGATGGGCCCTGCTCTGTGCGTAACAGGGGGCAGCGCCCCAACCCCCTTATTGGCCCTGCTCTGTGCGTGACAGGGGGTGGCGCCGCAACCTCCCCATCGACCCTGCCTTGAGTGTGACAGGGGGCGGTGCCCCAACCCCCCTATCGGCCCTACCCTGAGCGTGACTGAGGGTGGCATCGCAACCTCCTGATCTGCCCTGCTCTGTGCATGACAGGGGGCGGCGCCCCAACTCCCCAATCGGCCCTGCTCTGAGCCCGACCAGGGGCTGCACCTAGGGATTGGGCCTGCCCTCTGCCACCTGGGAGTGGGCCTAAGCCAGCAGGTCATTATCTCCCGAGGGGTCCCAGACTGCGAGAGGGCACAGGCCGGGCTGAGGGACTTTCCCCCACCCCCCAGTGCACAAATTTTTGTGCACCGGGCCTCTAGTATATTATAAGGAAAAATAATGAATTTTCAGATGTTCTGAATTGTTAGATTTCAGTATCTCAATGATCAGTGACTCATGTTTATTTAACTTCTTTTACATTAAATATGTGCCTGTACAACTGAACTTTGAATATAATGAATGCACCATGACAACACAAAAGTCAAATAACAATTACAGCAGAATCAATTTTCTTTCCAGTCAAAGTGCTCTTTTGCACAACTTAAGACTTTTCCTTTCAAAGAGTTGATGTTTTCTTTGTTCTTTTGATTATAATCATAAAAGAATGAAAAACTGTACAAGAATATGCTTTCTGGCCCTGCTGGCCTGGCTCAGTGGTTGAGCACTGACCTATGAACCATGAGGTCACGGTTCGATTCCCGTAATAAAATTTCCTGTTGGCAGAGTTGGTCTATGCCAACAACAGTGGTTCCATTCCCCTAACCAGTGAGTCGATTAAATGTGGCCTCTGACTAGTTATGGTCTATGAGACTTAAAGAAAAGCCTTCTGCAGGGGTACTGAAAATATTTCTTGGGTCTCAAAAAGTGGCACCCCAAAAAGGTGCCACTTTTTCTACCTCTGGACGTTGGTGTGTGAGCATATTATACTTGTAGTAATTGCAGCTACCAGGATTACTAGCTGAGAATGACAAGCAGGAATTTAGGGGGAAAAATCTCAGTTCTTTAAAAAAGCACTTAATCTCTGAACTCCCCTGGAACTGCGCTATAACTGAACTACTGCTATTATGTAAAATTAAAAAAAAAAATTCTTGTATTTCTTAGGCACCTTGAAGTTTTCATTTCTGTTGTTGAAACCTTACCAGCTGATACATCTTTTGAGTGTTCAAAGACCCTAACTACCACCTTCTTACCCTTGCTACCATGATTTCTTTAGCTTGGGTATTTTTTTTAATACTCTTCTTTTTTTCTTTTTCCCTTTTCTTCCTAATCTATAATGAAGTGAAATCAAGAGTGTGATCTTAGTAGGGAAAACAGCCCCAACTGAATTTTTCCTGCAATTAACAAACAATGGCAGTTCTCCTCTTTAACTGTTTTGTTAGAAAATAATCAATTTCTTGCATTAATTCAAATACCACAGGGAGCAATAACTATATTAACTTAAGACCTTTCTGGTCTGAGGATTTTTATCTATTTTTCTGAGCCATAAAGCTATCTTCAAATTTAATTACCTTTAGCTCACTGACAGTTGACAGCTGTTAACCAAGGAAGATTTACTTTAGAAGGGCCCCTGTTGGAAGCCTACAAGCCAAGGCCATTTAGTTAAAATGCTATTTAAGTTGCTGTTAGTTAGCCCTAATTGAACTTTGGGGCTTGGGAAAAAAACCCCACCAAAATACGAAATTTTTATTTATTTTTTTTACTTAATAAAGAGATGAGTTCAAAGCATTGAAGATTTTTATCTATCTATGAAAAGAATGACTAAAGAATCCATCATTTTGGTTTAATGTAGAGCCAACTTAAGTCGATGAATACAGTTAGAGAAAATGACTAATTTAATGACGTGGGTACAGTGAGAAAAGGAAATCACCATTATTGGTTTCTCCTCTAGACAAATGAAAAGAATGGCGCTGTGCTACAGTTCTTTAAATCTTAGCAATGATGTCATCCTTTTTACAGCGCTGGAAGTACAACTAGTTGTTTTGTTTCTCAGGACATGCTCAACTGATCGAAAGGAACTTTGGCTGAGAGTATGAGGTATTAGAAAACGTGGTGGCCCCCAAAGGGCAGTGTAGGTCTCCAAGTCCCTGGGAAAACCTCCTGGGAAACATTATTAAAAAAATACCACATGCTTCTATCCTGAAATCTACATTACTGTAGAGTTCTATGGTGGGAAATTACTGTCATGCGTTCCATGCAATGTTCCCTGAGGGGAAATCTGCAGCTCAATATGCTTACCTGAAATTCATGTATGAACATGGACTTTTCTTTGTGATAGAAATTTTTGTGAGCCTTGAGAATTTAACCAAGGCTGGGGGAACAGTACATTCCCCCAAAATATAAACCCTAGCAATATAAGCTTTGGGGTCCTACTGAAGATAGTCAACATATTGCTGTAGCAATTACAATATAGTTTAACATATATAATATATGCTGTTTGTAAATCACACTTTGCCCCTAACCACAGTAAGAACTAACGTTTGTTCTCTGTTAAATCAGTCGGTGATCTTTTTTATATATAATATATTTTATTGATTTTTTACAGAGAGGAAGGGAGAGGGGTAGAGAGCTAGAAACATTCATGAGAGAGAAATGCGGCCAAGGTACATGCCCTTGACCAGAATTGAACCTGGGACCCTTCAGTCCACAGGCCAACGCTCTATCCACTCAGCCAAACTGGTTAGGGCCAGTGGGTGATCCTAATATTTGAGGTGACTTAAATCAAAATAACTCAAATAGCGCTCTCTCTCTCTCTCTCTCTCTCTCTCTCTCTCTCTCTCTCAGTGGAGGAGGGTGGAGAGTCTAGGGTTTTCTTTTATGAATAATATATATC